ATTCGTCAATTCGTCGAATGGATATATAGTTTCTCTTGAATCAACAAAATATTTCATTGAATTAACCAAATATTTTATTGAATCAAACAAATATTTCATTGAATCACCCAAATATTTCTTTGAATCAACCAAATATTTCGTTGAATCAACTAAATATTAGATTGAAGCAATATCTCATTATTTTGAATCAAACAAAATGATTGTTTGAGCCAATTCAATATCTCTTCAAAACCATTAATGGATGTGCTTGATTGAAGAAGATCCAGAGTTCATGCATATTTACTTGATTCAAACTCCAAATTCGCTCTGATACAAGATATAGATTTACTCATTTCAAGATTATATTTTGTCGTGCATATATGACACTTTTATTTGCTTCATTCAATCAAATTTTGCTTGATTCAACAATTCCTTTTTTTCCGTGTTGACTTGAATAATACCACTATCGGAAGTAATTACTTTCCATCTTTTTGGTGTTTCTTTTGAATGGATATTTCAGAACCCCTCTAAATTACCACAACCGTGCTGTGATTTTTCACTATGAAGGTCAAGGTAATAAAATTGATTAAATATTGCTAATAAAGTGTTGATTCATTCCTAGTTATTTCTGAAATCTACTCGATTGAAATAACACCGGGCACAAGGTATTGAAGAAGTCTCCATACTAAAAGAACAACGGTCATTAAGAAGTAACTAACCAGCTAACCACATGTCCGTCATGCCAAACTGCATATTATGAATTGTTTATGCATGTAGTAGGTATTACGTAACAATGTTCAACAACTCACAAAAACGAACTTTTTAACTCCTCTATACGTGATTTGTCCATTTGTTAAGAACAAAAAGAAATTGCATGTAATAAGTAGTTGATACAATGATTCTTGAGATTTTTCATTTCTCATTCTCTCTTTCATCGTTTTTGAATTATGTGATTGAAATGATTTGATTTTCAATTCTTTCAATTTTAAAATTTAAAAATTTTCTGATATTCTCATTAAAAAAAAACTTATTTAGACTACATTTTATCTATTTATGGAATGTTTAAATTTAATAATTTTGAGGCTATTGATAATTTATTCAAAATTTCCAACTTTCAAACTCCCATTCTTCTCTTCAACTCTTCGATTTCAAGATCTGAAATTTGCTAAAATAATCAATATCCCCAATTTTTGAATTACTTTATAAATTTTCGAGTATTTCACGTTTCAAATTCATACTCTTGAGATTTCGATATTTTGAATTTTGATATATTAAATTTTTTATTTTGAATCTACAAACAGATTAATCATTCATTTCTCCGGAAATTCGGGATTTTGCTCGTCTACATAATTGAAATTATTAAAATTATGTTGATATTTCTGAATTATCAAGTTTCCAAATACTCATTAAAAATGTTGGGATTTGGAATTCTTGAATATTTTTAATTAATTCAGAAGCCAACACTTTATACTCTCGTGAAAAATCGATGAATTGAAATGATATTGAATTCCCGAATTTTTAGTTTTCGAATTCCCAAATAGATACTATCTGTAGGTTAATCATCAATTTCTGAAGATTTTTGTGATAAAGATATAGACGAAGACAGATCCTTATCTCTATTGTTCCTACTCGATTTTTCTCACACAAGAAGTCACTGACTATAGCGACTGGATTTTTCCCAAATATTCTAATATTGAAATTTCATACTTCAGGAATACTTACTCGAATATTACGAGGTTACGAGGACAGAGAATCCCAAAATATATAGCCCAGCACCTGAGTTTTCGAATGAAATTTAATAATTTTCCAATTATTTCAAAAAATACTTATTTCAAACTATCAAAATGTCAAATTGCCAAATTTTTAATAGTTTCAAAGGACCCCCAGTGGCTGAAATTTCACTATGATGTTGTGGGACGGCTTATTAGGAAAATATGTGAGTTTATAAAGAATTGAATGCTAGGTTTCTGAGATATAAGCCCACAAAGTTCGTCGAAACGTCGTATCCAGGTAGGATTGACCCAGAAAAAACAGTTTCTTTAGTATAATCAATAAGACAAAGTGAGCTAGAGAATGTATCAATCGGAGCAGAGATAGTTATCAAGAATCAAAATACGTTTCCAAAGCCTACAATAGTCTGAAACTATAATATCTCACCAAAATGTAACTTGTTGATTTAGGAATAGTGTTAGAATTTTTTTCTGAAAAATGATTTTTGTTTACCGTACCTCATATACACCCTAGTTTACTATAATTTATGTGCTTATAACTAGACATGTTTATCAGTTCCGATCAATACATTTTCTAGATTACTTTGTCTTATTTACACTGAAATAACTGTTTTTTTTTGTCAATCCTATTCCGATACCACCTCTTTGTATGACCCTGTATACACACACCCACCTAACCTGACCAACCTAGATTCGATTTCGATATCTCACTAGTGTGTGGGTACCCCCTTCGTAGATCATTTAGAGTCAAGTTTTTTCTATACGTAGCATCAGAGGATTCACGAGAGCGTAGCACGAGAACTACTCGTAGAAATTGTTTGACCCCATGGAGACTTTTGTTCAGCACACTATGAACTACATTCCCCCAAAATTTCAGATGAATTGACAGAAATCAAAATTGCATTTGATTTGTGCGGGGTCCTTCGAAACATTGAAAATTTGAAATTTCGAAAAGTATTTGGAAATCCTACAATTTCAAAGTTTTAGAATATGAAAATCCAAGAATTCATACGTAAAGGACCCCGCACCGCAATAGGGGGGAAATTGGCTTTCGGTGAATTTTCTCGAATTTTGGATATATCGTAGAACTCGTGATGCTGATCTGATGTCCCAATTATCAACGCTCTAAATTCAATAGTTTGTATTATACAGGGTGCTAAAGTTGACTTTTTTAAAATTTCGAATGGCCATTGTGAAGTTTTCTTTTTGAATACCAAAATCAAATCGACTACGTTTTGTTTGTCCATGTGGCCGGTGAAAATCCACTATAGAGTTCAATGATATCTGCACGAACTCACGATATCCTGATATCCATATCCATCGAATGATTGGAATCCTGTAAAACTTGGTAAGGAAGTTGATAATTCGTAATGACAATATTTTATGCGATACCTAATTATACATGGTGGTTGAGAAAGTACTAGTGGAGTTTTCTTGGAGTTGACGTACTCAGGATTTCTGTCTTGTTTCTCAATTGCTCTGGAGTTCGTCACCTCCAAGAAAACACCACTACTACTTTCTCAACCACCCTGTATAATTCAGGTATTTGCATAAAATATTGTCATCACGAATTATCAACTTCCTCACCAAGTTTAACGGGATTCCAATCATTCGATCGATATGAATATCAGGACGGGTGCGGTTTCATGGAAACTTGAACATCTTGTGTACAATATGTAGTCTGATTTAAAAAATGCAATCATCATGAATCGATGTTGATATTAGTATACTACGGAATGTCCAAGAATAAATTGATTTCAACCGCTCACTATTTCGGAAATAATTGGAACATTTGCTATTTTTGGACCAACTCTGTATATCGTGAGTACGTGCAGATATCATTGAACTCTATAGTGGATTTTCACCGGCCACATGGACAAACAAAACGTAGTCGATTTGATTTTGGTATTCAAGAAGGAAACTCCACAAATTTTGAAAGAGTCAACTTCAGCACCCTGTATAATACGAACTATTGAATTTAGAGCGTTGATAATTGGGACATCAGATCAGCATCACGAGTTCTACGATATATCCAAAATTCGAGAAAATTCACCGAGAGCCAATTTCCCCCCTATTGCGGTGCGGGGTCCTTTGAAAACTTGTAAATTTGAAAATTCTAAAATTTATAATACATACAGTGTGTCCACCTTAAGGACTTACCACCCCTGTAAAATCGTTATTATCCGACCAATTTCTAAAAACCTCTCTTTGTTGGATAGGTATTTGAAATGCCCATCCATCGAGAGAGTGATCTAATTCTTGGCCTGTTATCGTGGCCAACTGCGACAAATTTCAATGACCCATATTCCTGAAAGTACTATTAGGGATTTTTTTTCACGAAACTTGATGATGTATTCTGAATCAGTACCACTTGAAATATATCTGTACCGATTTTCATTATCATAAAACACAGGGTGTCCGAAAAAACGAATCATCATTTTCTTCAAATAGGTGATCAGCAATTGTAGTTCTGTGGTTTTTCTAGAAAGAAATAATCACAAATCATCATTGAGGATCATTTCAAATATACCTGTACCAATTTTCGCCATTTGAATGTACAATGTGTCTGAGAAAAAAATTAAAAAGGATAGGTAAGCAATATTTTTCATCCTGATAATTCTTCACTCAAAATAAAAAGATGAATCAGGATCATTTGGAACATACCTGTACCGATTTGCATCATCATTAAACACAGGGTGTTCGAAAAATCAAATCAATATTTTTTTTGAGTTGATGAAAAAATATTGCCTACTTTTTCTTTTTAATTGTTTTCTCATACACATCGTATTTTTGAATGATGAAAATCGGTATAGATATGTTCAAAGTGATCCTCAATAATAATGTGTCATTATTACTTCTCAAAAATACCACAATACTACATTTTCTGATCACCTTTTAAAAAAAATTCGTTTTTTCGGACACCCTGTGTTTTACGATGATAAAAATCAGTGAAGGTGTTTTTCAAGTGATCGTGATTCAGAATCCATCATTGTTTTTTGTGAAAAAAAATCCCTTATAGTACCTTCGCAAATATGGGTCAATAAAGTTGGTCGCAGTTGGCCACGATTACAGTTCATGAGTAAAATCACTCTCTTGTTGGATGGACATTTCAAATACCTATCCAATAAAAAAAAGTTTTTTGAAATCGGTCAGATAATAACAATTTTACAGGGGTGGTAAGTCCTGTATATTGAAAAATTCTAAAATTTCAAAATTTGAGAAATTGTGAAGTTTGAAAATTCGAAAAGTCGGAAATTCGAAAACTTCTGATTATTTTAAAATCTCTTCCAGTCGAGGTGGATGGCTATGGGCCGTACAAGCCGGTCCCTCCCCCCAAGCCGCTCCCCCAACAGCCGGCGCCTCAGGAAGCGCAGCTGCCGGGCCGCGTCACCCCCCCGCCCTACAGGATGCCCCCCTACCCCCTGTTCGGGGAGCTGAACGTGCCCGGCGCCGCCGCTGTGCTAGACCGCCCCGACGCTGCTTCCAGCCCTGCCGCACAGGGGTTGCGAACGCACTCCAACAAGTTTCCGGTAAGGAACAAATTGTAATAAGTGCTCGAATTGAGGTCAGGGACCGTTTAACCACCGGCATCCAATTCGAATGCGCATTCAACTTATTTAACATGAACGCATCAATTCCTTGATGGAATATGCTGTAATATACAGTTCATTTTACTTGATTTTTCCGGATTTTTTCTCCTCGTTTCTATACAGGGTGGGCCACCAGTAACGCCTCGGTCTCTAGAAGGCTAACCACTTATCTTCTTGGAATTCTTCCTCTCTAGGAAGTTGCATGTCAACATAGGCTACCATTTAAAATTATTTCGAAACATACAGGGTGTCCCCAAAACCATAAAACACTGAAGTTGAACTTTTTTCTATCGAACACCCTATATATTATTTCATTTTGAGATTCTCCCTGATGAGCTAATTTCAACGACCCATCATGCTTGGGGTCTAGCAGTTATAATTACTGAAATATAGGGTGTGAAAAATCGAGATTTTCCAAGTTCAAGAATTTTTTGTGTCGAAACTATTCATAATTGGTCAAAACGGCTTACATGTCCCTATCTCAACTTTTGATTAACTATCTACTGATATTTAATTGGGACATATACCGGGTGATCAAGATTCTGAATTCTGCACCACCCTGTATTTGTTGCAATTAAATGTCAGTAGATAGTTGATCAAAAGTTGAGATAGGGACATGTGAGCCGTTTTGACCAATTATGAATGGTTTAGACATACAAAATTCTTGAACTTGAAAAATCTCGATTTCTCACACCCTATATCTCAGTAATTATAACTGCTAGACCCCAAGTATGATGGATTGTTGAAATCAGCTCACCAGGGAAAATCTCAAAATGAAATAATATATAGGGTGTTCGATTGAAAAAAGTTCAACTTCAGTGTTTTGTGATTTTTGGGGACATCCTGTATGTTTCAAAATAATTTCAAATGGTAGCCTATGTTGACATGCAACTTCCTAGAGAGGAAGAATTCCAAGAAGATAAGTGGTTAGCCTTCTAGAGACCGAGGCGTTACTGGTGGCCCACCCTGTATAAAATAAAGATATTCGTATTATTTCAATACAGTGACAATTTGTTTGAAAAAAATGTTTGAAGGAAAGAAATATAGATATATTGAAAAAATATCGAATCTTTACTCATCTTTGGACGTTTTGGAACCGAATCTGCTCCCGTTCTCAACATGAAAATGCAAAATATTTCTCTTTGGAAGTTGTGCTGCTTATAGTTGAACTTTAGCTCCTAGGAACTAAAAATGATGTACTGGACGTCATCAAGAATAAACAACATTGTGACGGTTGGTTATTTGGGTTGAGACGCATAACTTGATTTGTTTCCGATTTCAGCAGATTTGGCATTTCATACCCATGCTGGAAATATAAATACACCTTATTATAGTTTAGTATTGGAATTATAAACATCTCAGTTAAGTATTTTTGTTTTGATCAGGGAAGCCTTCAAGATTCAAGTACTTGCTTGATCTGTATTTCATTCGTTATTCTCGGGATGGATAACTTGTTTTTGAATAATCACGGCAAGCAATAGTTTTTTTGTCTCAAACAACGATATTGTTTAGCTTCATTTGATTATCAAGTCAAACACGATGTAGTATGGAGAGGAATAAATAATCACTATTATCATTGTTGATATGCTCACTAACCTAACATTTTCCACGTCTTGTTCCTATAGCTGGCACTGGCGCGGTATTTGCCATTAGAGCACCTGGTCCATAGCCAAATATGTCACTCTGTGGTTGTATTTATATTGAAACTACAATTATTCGAACATCCTTGAAAACCTAACCTGCTGTTAATGCAGGTAGAATATTCTCACCACACGGATTATTTGTCAATATTTGTTGCATTGCATTCATATGGCACGGCATTGGTGGTTACTTCACATGTTTATTCGAGTTAATTGCTTCGGTTGCAGAAAAAATAGCATGTTTCATTCGGATCAAAAGTGACTTTGTTCGACTCGCAAATTTTGCTTTCGCTCGGCTTCGCTAAACGCTCCGCCTCGCAAATGCAAAATTCGCTTGTCAAACAAAGTGTCACTTTTGATCCTAATAAAACAATCTACTATTGTTTGAAGTTTCATAATATAAATCATGAAGGATATTAATCGGCGTTCACGTCACCGCAACACGTGAATATCCCATACTCAAAAGTTGATTCAATAGTCGTTATTAATTATCTATGCTATAGATGCCTGTTGGGGTCTGCAGGTGGTTAGACGGTACCTGGCTCCAATTCGCGCAGAATTTGGCGAGAGAATTTTCATGTATGTATGTATCGTAATGTGAATGATTTTTCATCACATAGATTGTCCCACTTCACATCCTGTGTGAATGGTGTTTTGTTGATCTGATATATTTGTATACCTACTAGCTCTCCTAATTAGTATTTCAGAATAAAATACTTTTCATGAGCTAGTGAGGAATGTGCTTTTCTTGTTTGACAATGATTTTATCTCAGATAACGCGATACAAAGCTACTGCACCAATTCCAATTGGTTTCAAATTACACGCATTCCAAGTACTTTTTTTCGTTCATCGAGACGTACAATTTCCTTCTAAAATGCCTCTATTTTGTGTATCAGCTATTTCACTCCTCATCTCGCCGTTTCTCACTTTTTCTCCTTCGGTTTCTTCGAGAATTATACCTGCCTTTTTACTGCACTCTGAATAGAAGTTTCGATTATCTTTCAGTCCACGGACTTAACTGGCTGAAAACATGCCAATTCTCCTATAATTGATTGTCGAAACGAAGCTCAAATTGATTCGTATCTCGTATCAGATGACAGATGAAACGTGAGTGTTTTACAGATTAATACACGCCTATTCCAAGAACCAATAAGATTTCTTCAATTTCGTAAAACCGCGACCAATCTCCAGGCATTTGTAGTGATAAAAAAGCTACCTTGCTTCCTCAATAACCGATGAAAATAGCCACCTTACTTTTGCTATAGTGATATTCTTTCAATCTGAATTAACTGAAATATCACACTTGAACTGAACTGAGTCAGTTGATATGCGTTCTTTCAAATGAAGTGCATTTGCAGGTCAACTGATTCAGTTCAGTTCTAGTGAAATGTGTCAGTTCGTTCAAAACGAAAGAATATCGCTATAATTATTATAATCATTGTCGATCTAAATGGAAACCTAGTAAGCAACATAGTACGCGATACGCGAGGAGGTAGAACTAGAGGTTGTCATCAGATTTTGGTAGTGAGTACCATGTTAAATCTATATCAACTGAACAGGAAGCAATGCAATACAAGCAGATTCCTTGATTTTTCTCTTCTGGTTGTTATCTTCTTTTCCAATAATTTTAATATCATTCCACTCTGCCATATGTTGATCATCTTCAGAAAATGAGAATGGTAAATTCAAGATCAATTAAAGAAAGCATCCTGTAACTCATTTTACTTACGGGCACAGTTATCGTTTATTCCGCCAGTATAGGCGTATGTCATGATCGCGTAATCGCCGTCAACAGCGAATGAATGTCAAGAATTATTATTCAGAATGTTTGTCCAAACTTTTTTGATGTACTATATAGCAGTAGGTAAAGTATAGTACGTAATGCGTGTTGTAAAGCAATTATGTAATATGTTTGGCGCTCTGTTCAGGGCGGAGACTACTCTGGTATTTGACGGGGGAGGGGGGGGGTCTCGGGCGTCAGATTGTTTATGAGGTAGTTTACTCCACCTGTTCTGCACAAAGCTACTTTTCCAAAGTAGCAACAGTGGAAACAGGTACAGGAGGTATACCTACCTCGATACCAACAGTATAAACCATGGGTCAATGTTATTGAATCGACCTGGACACGAGAGCAGGTCGATCCTAGATTCTTATTGGTCGGAATACTCAACTATGCCTGCAGAAACTATCATCCAAAAGCATATGTGATCTAAAACTCACAAAAATGCGGAAAAAATTATATTTAACCCTAAATGGGCACAGGAACAGAATCTACTACCCTTGCTGATGCTACTGAATGAATTTGACTGGAAAATATCCAATAACAAAAAAGTTATGACCAGGTGAACATCCATCATTTCAACTGATAAATCATTCATCCAAATTTCATATCATAAGCAAAGGGTTGAAAAATATTGAAGTCTTTAGGGTTGTAATGATATTAATCAGATTGTACTCTCAGGAAAAGCTTTGAAAGGTCAGGAATCAATGAATTACTCAGCTCCCTTTTCAGGTTTCGAGCTCTCGAAACAAGTGATATTCAACTATAGAATCAGTCTCAGGTTACTTAGATATTAATCAAAACCAGTCTAGTAATGAAGCTGGTCAAAAACACTTCATTACAAACGTTCCCGAAACCTCCAAAGATAAGTGAAAATTTGATATTTTTTCTATATACCTTCATTTCTTCAAACCTCTTTCAATACAAATTGTCCCTGACAAGCTTGTCAATTTTTCTTTTAGGCTCTCTTATAGGAATATCCTAAGAACGCAGTGACATTTCGGGGCAAATCATCGAAATGTCAACGCTTTGTAGATTAGTCAAGAAGCGTTTGCGGAAACATATTAATGAAAAATATCATTTTTTACCTCAACAATGAGGCCCTGGAATCTTGATAATGAATTTTGAAACACCCTGTGTGTATTTCATCATACATAAAGGCATATAGGATAGCAAGAATGAATAATCATACATATTGTATAACCAAGAAAACTATTAGGATTGATGGAAATGCTCCAATCATCAGCATGTCTGAGACTACTGTTTCGGGGCACCAGGTCTCATCAGCTGCTGTCGGTTTGCTGAGAACTGGGCGCAAATAATAGTTGTCCACCCAGTATTCACTGGGATGAAAATCATCGTACTTACTTATAATTTTCGAAGTGTGTGAGGCTCTGAAATAGTTCTAGCAACAGATAATGCATCATTTAAAATTATTCAATATATCAGGAGCTTTTCTTATAAGAAGAGCGTTTCTAGCTACCATGAATAAGTAGATTGTAGATTGTAGATGGGTCGT